TAGTACTATTATCCTATGCCCAGAGATGAAGAGTGTCAGTTGAAGAACCAATTAACCTTGAGTCATGCATTAATATTTTCCAGCACTCTGCAAGTTGTTACGTGAAATCTCTGCAAGAATGATTGCGTATTGTGATACAGTCACATGATTCAGCAGTTTAGCAGAAATAGTTGTCATTATGTATGGCAATGCATGATCTTATGTAGTCAGGTCATTATATCAACTACATTATAAGTGCTGGAACATCTCTGCTTATATTTTGAAGCTATTGTTCTGCAGTTTTGTTATATTTATGCCTTTGAATAAGGGTACTCACAGGAAGCTGATTCTATTTGAATGTGAGGCTGCAGATTTCTGTAAGATGCACATTTCCATTTTCAAGGTGACTGTGTATGACTCAACCAAATAGATCTGTAGTGATCACTTACAGACAGGTTGGTATTTAATCTCTTCCCATTGTGCATTCACAGTCGTTTCCATAAAATATGATTACCATAGTTACTACTACTACCACCACCACCACCTGGAGTATTAGTGGTTTTACCAGTTGTGCACTAATGATGTTATTGGCTTGGACACAGTTGTACAATTTATTCTTATCAACAATATTTTACTATGTATATTTCCACTATGCAATAGATCTATAGTGGGCAGAGTGGGCTGGAGCACTATTTTATCGACGTATGTTCATCTGACTTGCCAGTCATTCTGCCAGTAGCTCCTTCATTCTTAACCATGGCACTGGATGGATGTGAGCAATTAGCTTCATGCCCCAGCGGTTTTACTCTCAGGAAGCAGCCCCAGACACCTATTAGATAGGAAGCTGGGTGGACCTTGGAAAAGGAAAATTATTACCTCTGCAGGGAATCGAATGGTTCCTCCTTGGTCCAACCCGTAGTCTAGTCACTTGACTGAGCTGTCCTGAGTAGATGGATGTTAAAGTATGCATGGAAACAAATAGGTGTAGTATGTTGGGAAGCTTAAAGATAGTCTTGGAACTATAAATTGGACATGTATTGATTGTGCTGTTACTGTTGACGTATTCATTTTTATTCGATTCAGCTGTTCACTCTAGTGTTAACCTTAGACCACGTCTAAAGTACCCGTAAGTGGCCAATGTTTTTGTGTCCCAGTAAATGCATTGGTGCCCTTCAATTGCAGTTTTCTTTAATGAGAATCTTGCTATGTGCGTTATATATTGTACAGTGTATAGTTCAATAACAACGTAATATGTAAAAGTTGTTTTGAAGAAAATAATTTTAACTAATTATTACATATTTTACGCAAGAGTGATAACTAATTTTTTACGCAAGAGGAGAACTAATTTGTCTGTTTGTGTGCCACACAAATTGTAATCGTACTTAACCGAAAGTAGCGTCTTTATACTTCCCAAAGAAATAGCAGCTGCTTTTAACACAGCCAAATAGAAAGGGTTGCTGAGTAGCAAGCAGGCTCGAAGTCACCTTTTAACAGTTGAAGGTAAATATTCGGTATTCAGTTTCTTCATCACTATTTATATCCATAATTCAAAGGTATTTCATAAATTTTTTATCGGAAAACTAGCATAGCTTAGATCAGAGACTTCGATATATGGTTGCACATTTATTCCCAGCTAAAATATATGTAATATCTTCATACGACAATTGCTTTTTCTCGGCGTAGTACTTCATTTCATGTTTCGTTAGGATGTCGTTTTTGTCGCAGTTGTTGTGATAGGGTTTTCTCAGTATATTGAGATCAAAATATTNGAAGATGGGGGCGATACGTTCCTCCGAAACGTCGGTAAACACCACATATACACGGTGCCAAATCCCAGAAGACTGCTTTCTTCATAGTCACCGCCGTGAAAGCCTCAAATCTTACAAAGAATGGAAATAATCTGTTGCTTAGAGGCTTGGGGATTTTGGTGGTCATAGTATTCGGCTTTCTTTAGTCTCATACCCGTTGCTAGTCTTACGAATGTGATTAGAGATACCAACGATTGTGTCTATAAAATATTTGTTTGGAAAAATTATCTACCCCTTCTTGATTAACCTATGACTATATTCATTCGTACAGCTTATCCGGATAAACTCTTTCTTCGACGAAGGACAGATTCCTTCACAAGTGAGCAAGTGAGCAAGTTTTATAGAGTCGTTCAGTTCTTCAGGCAATGGCACATATACACTGACCCACCCTCTAACGTGGAATGTTTCTTAATTGGTAAAGAGAGAAGTTGAATCAACGTTTAAATTATCATGAAGTCTCCAGCTTGGATATATGACCTTGTGAATCGGGCTGTCACGGGGCAGGTTCATTTGACTTTGCGTAATAAATTGACCCATATTAAGATGTACGTAATAGTTCCATATTATTGTAAGTTATTTTTCTAGGATATTTTTTAAGCACCTCTGGGATTTAGTAGTCAAGAGTTCCTGCCTAAAGATCCAGAGGTGCCGGGTTCGAGTCCCGGCACTACCAGATATTCTGAGAAGTAGTAGGTCTGGAAGTGGGTCCACTCAACCTCGTGAGGATAATTGAGGAGCTACTTGGAAGGAAAAGTAGCGGCTTTGGTCTAGAAAACCCAGATTAACGGCCTTGGGGATCCGTTGCGCTGTCCACGCCACGCCCTCTATCCACTAAAGTTGGCACTAATTTCGCCGACAAGCGGCGGTCGTTCGGTCGGTATAGTTCGCTTGCGGACTACAGGCCACCGAGTTTTTTTCCTTTTTTTTTTTTGTTCCCTTCAGAGACATCAAAAGTATCAAAAAGCGTAGAAACTGGTTTACACAAAGGTGGGCGAAATAATACAGAGGGGTGGATGGCTACTCATATGTTACCCTTTCGATGTGAAACTATCGGAATTATTTCATGCCGCATTTCTCCAGATTTCAGAAATTCCTAATTGCGGGTGTTGTGCCCAAGAGCGGATTTAAAATGACACATAAGCTTTCATATCTTAGGCCGATTTCGGGCCCATGGCCAGGCGAGCAGAGATCGTAAACGTCATACATCTCTTATTGACTTAGTTTAATTGCTATTAATGGTACTTTTGGATGCCCAAGGTGCTGCGTAATTGGTCATGAAACCGTTTTTATGGCACTAGGCAGTCTCATAATTGCTTGAAGGTCAGCTTCTTCATATTTATTTGTTACATATCCTAAATTATGTTATCATATTTTACTTGACCACTCTCTGTGTGTAGGCTTGAACCTGAGTCATCAAGTGCTGGATGGAAACTAAAAGACAAAGAAACAAGAGGAACAAATAGGTCACAAAAATAAATTTAACATAAAAACGCAAATTATTTGCGTACGCTCCTATTTTGTTAAGTTTGCTTTCTTGTTGTGATTTCTTTCTTTCTTCTTCTTGTTTGTTTGTGATTATTTGCTTATGCTTTTATTTTGTAAGTTTATTTAGTTCTGCTATACTTTGTTTTTTCATTGCTACTTACGTTCTTCTTTTTTTAAAGTTTGGTTTCTTGCTGTCATTTAATCCTGTTGAAATTTGTCTCTTGCCGATCACAGTGGCCGTGCGGTCTAAGGCATGAACAGTCTTCGCCCGCTCTAACACTGGGGTCGTGGGTTCGAATCCCATTCGAGGTATGGTTGTCTGTATGCGTTTATTCTGGGTTTGTGTCCCCCGTCCTACCGACTGTATATAGGATTAAGAAACTGAAAAGCGGCCAAGGCCCAACAAAGGGCTCTAAAGCCACAGATAGACAGACATTATCTCGTATTGCATTCAGCATTGAACACTCTTATAGCAACCCACGCAACGGCGCGGCAAGTGTCTTGTTTATATTAGGCCTGCATACCAGTCCAGCCTGACTGACTAGTTTCGTTTAAGTATATTTTACTACTTCTTTGGAGTTAGAATTGTCAAATGGGCCCAAAACTTTCCGATTGCATCTTGTGGACCCTATTACCACGTAGGATTACAATCTTCGCAACAAATCAGAAGTCACAAAAATTAGTTACATGAACACATATAGAATTAAGCTGTCAATATAATGTTATACTAGTATTCTGGCTTGATAAATCCAGTTAACTTGTAGTTGTGTTTTACGTTCATCGAATGTTTAAGAGATAATGGAAAGTTGTATTCGTTTAGTAAGGAAGGATAACTAGAGTTATATAATGATGGACTTAATTTTGTTTTTACTGAATATTGTTAAATGTTAAACAATTACGCAGAATTAAAGCGGACATCATTACTTTAGTGGTCATATGTGTCACTTTCAAGCAAGGCTAGTATGTAATAAGAATATGCCTATTTTTACACCCCTATGACCAATTTTATTCTCTTATTATTATAACGACGGAGCAGGTTAAGTTTTAGAATGTGTTTATTCATATTAATCTTGCTAGAAATGCCAGTTCATAGTTTGTCGAATTTTTAACACGAACTATGGCTACCCGTCGCAAGTCATGTACTTTATCTGAGCAGTGTGAATGAATAATCCCCATACCGAAGCTCTTACCATATATGGAACAAGAACTAGCCTCAAGTGAAAGCTGGCATTACCCAAATGGGAACAGACTGTCCTTACTTCAGATGTGATTTTCGATTCCTTATTGGGATGTACTATTGGAAGAGGGGGTATATAGAATTAGGGCATGTGTTCACAGTGATTAAAGGCCAGTTCACCGTGTATAAGATAAGCAGATCATAAGATGCTGAAAGTTCCAGAATAGTTAGCATTGTGGCAACAAGAACATCCACAACATTTTCCAGTTCTATGGTAATATTTGTTATGTAAATGAAATAAGCGTGTTATAAAGGTTGTCCTTTTAAACTGATTTTATCGGCATGTGAACATCTCTGCGGATAAGACCGAAAAAATATGTTTGAAGTTAAAATTCTATTCACAGGCAATATAACGAATAATCTTCGAAAGACAACATTCCCTACACCAAAAACATTGTGAACCGACCATAAAGCAAAACACTCCCCTCCACATCTTCCCTTGAAGAGGGGAACATTCTAGTTATTCTTAGCACCGACTGATCGGTGTAGCTCAGTCGAAAGCAAGACAGTGAGGAAGAAAGTTCGAGAAGCATTGTAGTGAAAAAATATACATAGGCAAGTTATTTCTAAGGCGCAGTAAATAGTGTTTGAATTAGTGCTTGAATTGCTGGTTGTATACTCTTCAGGCCCAGTAGCAGTGATTGTTGGACTTTTCACCAGGTTGTTTTATCACTTCCACATTTCTTCCAACAGGCATATGATAGAAAGCGAAGGAATATCGTTTCACTAAGCCACAACAGAATAATTAATTAGAATAACGTAAACAAGGCAGAGAGGTGGTGTCCTATTCGGAATAACATTCATTAGTTAAAACCAACAAACATCATGTGATTACCTGATGCAATCCTTATCAGTTATTTAAATTAATAATAAAAATAATTATTAAAGTTATTTAATTCAATTAATTTCAAATGCTGATAGTCTAAATTATGTAAGGAAACATGCCTTATTTTTCAGTGTATGATTGAAGTTTTATTTTAGGCACTGTATGTGCACAAGCTAGTGAAAGAAGACCTTAATAGGAAAGTCGTATATAAATTACACATTTATGTTGATTTATTTAAGATCAGGCTTTGAATTCCTCTGTATTCTATTTCCTTTTGTTTTTCTGGTCTAGAAGTACACCTGATTTAAGCGTGGCGCTAAAAGTTTCAATTTAGTGCCTGTTGCATATTCTGCAGGCGCAGCGCCGTGTGGTTCTGGGATATCCTCACCAGGTGGAGCTTTTATCAACCGTACACAATGAATAATAATAATGAAGCAGGAGCGGAGAGTTGCAGTACAGATGAACAAGACGAAATGGTTGCGACGGAGCGTGAACTAGCAGAAGATGCGCAATGGAAACGTATCCAACAAAATACCTTCACCCGATGGGCAAACGAACATTTAAAGACAGTCAACAAACACATTGGCAACTTGGAAACGGATTTATGTGATGGCTTGCGACTTATAACCCTCATTGAAGTGTTATCCGGCAAAAGGCTACCGAAACATAACAAACGGCCAACCTTCAGATCACAAAAACTAGAGAATGTCTCCGTGGCGCTTAAGTTCCTGGAGGATGATGAGTCGATACGAATTGTGAATATCGGTGAGTACATACAATATTGATCTTGACATTTCCTACCTTGCCTAGTAGGTTCCCATGCCGCGCTTTGCAAGCCACGTGGTCAGAAAGGTGGGGTCGGCAAAGTACCAAACACTGGAGAAGTGGCGCCTATTTTTGTAGACGCTTTTGGTAACTTGCCATGGCACTGGCAGAGGAATAAAATCAAGAGACTGATCGAGCGGCGAGTTCTGACGGTTAGGCCGAGTGTACTGTATACGGGAGGTTAGTGGTTCGCATCCCTAGGTTGTATGCGTGTTAAAATATTTCGCAGTTTACACCCCGCTGCTGTTCCGAATTCATGAAGTGACCACTCGCTTCACCTTGTTTCTTTCAAGATCATACGTACATTTTGACTGCTGCGTTGTGACAGTTCAAGTATTTGAGGGCGTGGCTATGTAACAGCATGTGATTGTGCTGATCGAAGTTGAAGCTTGACGTACACGAAGAGCTGTAATGGTACAGCCTGCTCGTCAAATTACAGTGCAGTTCGTAATAATTTGTTACGTATTAACAAGAAAACCGTTTATTAATGAACACTGCTTCCAGGGATGTGTCAACCGCATGCCATGTGAAAATTGAACCTCGTAATTTTTCACCGTGTAATGAATACTGTCGTATGATGCTTGTCTGAAATAAATTCAGATGAAATATATCGAAAGAAGTTGGAGAGCATATTTTTTTTAGACTACGATATTGGGCGTGTGTGAGGTTGAACGTCTAATCATAACCTGCCATTTAGCAAAATAAGGATTTGTATTAGCATTTAATGCTAATATATTAATGCTATTAATGCATATGCTAATTTATTAAATATTTTCAAGAAATTTGCAGTGTGTGTTTTTGGTAGATGGAGATGGGTTCTGTTTTACTTGTAGAGTGTTTTATAGTTACATCAGGTGTAAGGAGGTACCACCCACATCCTAGCCTTCTGAATTGGTATGTGTCCAGGATTGTAAGGTCTCAAGCCCTTCTGTCATTGGTAGTGATGTAAAACTGACTCCGCAGGTCACTGGTCTAAGTAATGGTTTTGGCAAGTAGTTATTGTAACATGAGAGCTACCCATTCCCAAGCCAGCAAATATGTAAAAATTAAATGTGCAGTTTGGCAATATTTTGGAAGCACAAGTGGATATGATGTGACTGAATCTTTATGTTCAAAGTATTCATATGGAAATTAAGAGTCATCATGTATCCTTGTGTAGGGATTTAAGTGTGTGAGACTGTAGGAATACTCAGTGCACACAGCTAGTTTGTAGATGTAAGAATATGGAAGGGAGAATTTCAGTTCTGAAATTAGAATCATGCCTCATAGAGTATATTGGGCCACAGAGTCTGCAACTTTCAGCAGAACCACCCTGCTCAAAGGAAACCGTTAATTGCATCTCTTTGCATCTTATTAATGGCATATATGCATGGTTCTAGATGCCTATTTGATTTTTGAGTGAATTATATCATTCTCAATAATCTAACCAGACACAACATAAGCAACTAAATCGCACCTCAATAAAGAAACCAGAAACAGCAACATAAACAAACTCCACTACTCTAAAAACTTACTGACAAAGAATAGCAACTAAAAACATGACCAATGAGCTCACCACAGAATGATAAAAAAAAGTAAATCACCTAAGCAGGATGACACGTTGTGATCAGCACCAACAACATATACCCAAATAACATCAACATCTACATAAAAGGACCAAAATTTGAAACATCAACACCTACAACAAACACTCAGACAACCCACATCTCCCTGTAAGGAGAAAAGTATTACCCCCTCCCACCCATAAAAACCCATATAAATATCAAGACAATTTTTAGAAAAAAGTAAAAATAATAATGATTTATACAAGGTTTACTGGTATTCAACAGCATTTTGGTATTATTAAGCATCACAATCTTATGTTGAAAGTTTTTATATGACAAGACTATTAGCAATGGATCCATTGCATCATACAAGTTAGTAACAAACTGAATACATTTTGTTGCTTATAAATGCCTGATGATGGTCATAAAGGGCTGAAATATATAGTGTTACAATATTTTAATAAATTAAACTGATTTATTGAAAGTTTAATTTTATCAGTTATTTTTTGAAAGTATAAAGTTGTCGTGATCAATGGGCATATTTTACATATTAGAATTTTATCAACTTTTGCCATAATTGTTTCAAATAGACAAAATATTTCGGAAATAGTCATGGAGCAGATGTATGTGTGGGGTGCACAGGGAGGATCATGGGCAAGGGCAGCATACCTGATAAAGGTTCATGCAGCTACGTTTCCAGCGGCAGATTGAAAATAGGTTTTCTCAGCCAGGATCCTTGTATGTAATACTACTAAGAATGATGGACTTAGGTATTCACAGCAGTAGTTATCAACAGTTTTATTTTTTGGTATATAATGTCATGTAGTGTAAAAGTCAACTGACAGTTCAGAGAAACATACCATCTTCATCTTCAGCTCTGATAATGGAAGTAACATGCTCCTCTGAAATGTTGGGGGACTTTCATTGGCCTTTAGAGGATAGAAATCCAAGTTTTTTGCTTGATTTATTTATAGCAGTCAGTGTATGCAAGTTGACTCTCCAGGTGCTATACGGTCTCAGTACTGAAAGTGCCAGTTAAATAACATGGGGGGGGGTGTAGTTGATTCTCCTCGAGACATCATTATTAGGCATATTTATATATCATAAGTGTAGTTTACAACATCTTCTCTTGCTGCAGATATTTTCAAACAGAAAATGGCAAAAACCGTTGTGCAAGAAATGTTCATTAATTAACTGGTCAGTTGTGTGTTTGACATCACTTGGTTATGTTATGTTTATTCTTTGGGTTGGACATGACATGTTGGATGAATGTTGACAGTTCTTATTTCCTGGTTCTTTCTTCCTCAGTATAATTTCCGTTTAATCCAAATTTCTGAAGAATGATGTTGGGTTAATAAAGCTGAGTTATGTGCATTTGAATCAGCTGAAATAACTGCATAATCAGAATATCTGACTGGGCATGTAGAGCCATAAATCATGCATCTGTAGAATTGAAGCTGGGTTGTTTATGTCTCAAGACTTTGCGTTATGAAACTGTTAGTTGCGGCCTTCTTCTGGTTTTTTCCTTGGCCAGTTCTTTGAATGTGAAGATGGAAGTGATATGTTGCTCTGAAATGTTTGTCTTACTCCTAAGTAAATGGTGCTAAACTCAAGTAGTAAAGTATCATGATTCAGAGAGTCCTATCTTTTGGAATATAACACCAGATAGTCTGTTGAAAGCCAACCGACATTTCAGAGGAATATCTCGCCTCCATCTTCAGGGTGTAAGAATAAGCCAAGCAAGAAACCAACATACAGCATGTAGCAAGCATAGGTCTGTCTCATGTATGTTCATTTCATTCATTTCTTGTATATTACATATTTGGTAAACTTTGGAGCAATATTTCCAAGGGGTTTAAGATACTTTGCACCACAGAAGAGATACCATATAAACAACAAGAGAATCCATCTTGGTGTGATGCATCCTTTTCTAAAGTGTAAAATATTCACCGCTGAATTGAAATACTTGTTCAAAAAATTTGTTTCCAGCTTTAAGGACCTTTGTCATAAGAAACAAAGTGAAAATTGCAAAAGAACATAATTTTTAAAGAGAAGTATTGTATTACACTGGAAAATGTCATTAGAGAGTGTTATATTGCCAGTACTATAACAAGAACACATAAAGAACACTGTAAACCACTGACTGTCTGAACTAAAAAAATGTTGATAGCTCCAGGATGAAATAAAATTCTACTTTGACCTGAGTTTCAAAGAATTAAAGAATCCTAGCATGTCACTCCATATTCAAGAGGATCTGGCTTCTCTGGCCATTTCCATGACTTCAGACTTTTCACAATGGCGGAAATGTAAATATTTCCCTCATAGAGGAACACCACAGACTGACAGACCACACATTTAATCACCATATTAAATTGGCTTTTGTTCTGGTGCAGCCCCCCCCCCCAATTCGGAGCAAACCTACCCCAGCGAAGAAATTTAAATTGTTAATAAGACAGTAAAAAAAACAACTTTTTATAAGTTTATTGACAAACAGCCCACACCTACTTTGGAAAAGTGCTTGAAACTAAGAGATATAAGCAAGTTAAGTGCAGCTTCAAATCATCTCTAACTAGAGTACCCTGTTGGAGCCATAAGATGACCATAACGAAGGTTTCAGAGACTGCTGAAATCACACAAAAGAATTTACCTCAACTTGTCTCAGTCTTCAAATCCCCGGACTTTCTCCTACAGCCTTCATCCAGTTTTGAACAGTGTTAACCCCAAAAGAGCAAAGTCTCCCCAAGTTATGATATGTAAAATTTTACTATGTGTGAACTCTATTGAACATGTTTGCACTGAAAGTTGTCTTCATCCACTCGATCTCTGTGCTACTGAAATGAAAATTATATCAGATGGCTATATTTAGTTAGCTGAGTTTAAAATCTGAAAGTAAATGACATTAATGGGAAGTCTGAAGAAAAATGTGTCTAATGCATGGTTACTTAGCACTTTATCATAATTAAATTATATTTGGAATGGGACAGAATAACACAGTTGAGCAATTGTTATGGACTGGAGGATCAGGGATGGAATTTTTCTCTTTACCACCACATCCAAAATGGTTCTGGGGCCTTATGTGCTAAAATATCCAGTGGATATGGTGGGGCCTGTTTGGTCAGTGGTAAAGCACATAAGAATACGAAGATGAACACCCACCTCCATTTAGTGTTGAGTTTTTGACAGACTGTTCCAGTCATAGCAGATATTATTAAGTAGGATTATATGGGACTTCACATTATGGGCATTCAGCTTGAAACCCATCATTGTTACATCTCATAGTTCTCTGATATTCAGGCTTGTAGCTGTTCAAGTCTTGCCCCAGATTATTGGGAAATTTAGCGTATAATTTTTCTGATGCAGTAATTATGCTTGCAGTCTGGTCAGGGATTGTGCATA